GGCTCACCGCAACCTCCACCTCCCAGGTTTTCAAGCGATTCTCCTGCCTCAGCCTCCAGAGCAGCTGGGATGATAGGCATGTGGCACCACGCCTGGCTAATGTTTATATTTTCAGTAGAGGCGGGGTTTCACCATGTTGGTCAGGCTGGTCTCAATCTTGTGACGTCGTGATCCTCATGTCTCCGACCCCCAAAGTGCAGGGATTACAGGCGCGAGCCACGGTGCACGGCCTCAACTGGATTAAATTCATCAAGTGTACCTCTGGTTCCTGCAAGCTTTCGATTAGTTCCAAAAAAGTGGAATGTGACTTTTTCGCCAGTTACTTGTTGCTGCATATTTTCCATGTTACATTTGTGTCCTACACGAGATCTCAAATTTATATAAAAAGAAATCTTCCAACAGATGCACAGATGAGAAAAAATGCTGAAAAGAAACGCAGTGAAAACGTCACCAGTGTTGCCTGCTTACTGGACACTACCGTTCGCCCTGGGTGCTGTGTTGTTTCTTGCTCTGTTTGTCGATTTCTGGATAGGGATTGCTGTGGGCCTCAAGACCCACTGGGAAATGATCCCTTTTCCAGGTCAGTGCTTGGTTTCTTGAGTATACTTGGCAAGCCGGACTTTCATACACCTATACTTTTGGATGAACACTGTTAGTTCTCCAGAAATTAACAGAGAAAATTGACAGTGGATTGACAAGAATGAGAATCCATTCTAAAGAATTCCAATAGAATGGAATCCTTTATTACGAAAACAATTCTCAACTAAACTGGACACACATCCCTCATTTTGACTTCATTAGCTCTGGCACTGAGAGACAACTTTTTGAAAACACACAACTAAATCTGTCTGAGCCGTAAGTGCTAGAACAGTTTTTCAGAATACTCAGCTAAAACGGACCCTGCTTTAAGTGCTAAAACAACTAAAAGTAGGGACCGTTTTAGCTGTGTATTTTGAAAATGTTGTGTGCTCTCCAAATAAAAGCTACATTTGTTATTACTTTTGGTCCGCAGGAGAAATGGAAGTCCTTTTCAGACAGCATGGGAGACACATGAGTCTTTGGAGTCCTCTTGTCTGCCTCTGAGGGTGCAATGAGGGCGTGAAGCACTTTGGGAGGCGTCCAGACACACAGGTAGGCTTGCTATGGAGCAGAGCTTCCCCCTTGGGGTGTGCTCCTTGTCATCATGAGCCATGTCTTATCGAATGAATCACATTTCATATGCAAGCATGTTCTCCCTTTCACTGTGCTGTTGTTTTGGATCAGAGAAGCCTCGACAAGGCTTCAACTTGATAGCCATGAATAGTTTCGTTCTAACTTAATAACGTGTGGGCTTGTGGAGGAGCCAGCATTGGATTAGAAGGAGGGAGAATGGACGTGTGAATTAGGGAAAGGTGTCTCTTCCTTTGGAGTATGGATGGGTTCAAAGACCGCCTCATACTACTAAGTATTTGGCTGGACACTACCAGTTGTGTGTGAAGCCTGTGTTTGTGTGTGTCTGTGTGTGTATGTGTGTTTGTGGGTGTGTGTGGGTGTGTGTGTGTGTGTGTGGATGTGGGTGTGTGTGGGAGTGGGTGTGTGTGGGTGGGTGTGGGTGTGTCAGTGTTTGTGTCTCCAGACCTGAGCAGCAGACGCTTTTTCCTCTGGTAGCATGTTACTCAGAACCTTGGATAACCCCNTGGCCCCAGGCAGCAGAGACTAACAAATTTGTTGTAAACATTTCCTACAAATGTCCTCCAGGTAGCATCTCAGCACTTGGAGAATGTCCAGTCGGGTGAGATCAAGACCAGCCCTCGAGCCATACCCCAGTTCGCAGTTGCAAATAAGGCCCCTTCTTGGAACCTGAGCTGGGCATGTGGTCTGTTACCCTCAGGCCACCACAGTCTAGGCAGTGGGAGAGGGACCGGGATGAGTTAAAAAGCCACAAAGCTGTTTGTTCTGAGATCCAACTGGATTATCTATAATTTTTTTTTTTTTTTTTTTTTGAGATGGAGTCTCGCTCTGTCGCCCAGGCAGTGGCATGATCTAGGCTCACCGCAACCTCCACCTCCCAGGTTTTCAAGCGATTCTCCTGCGTCAGCCTCCCGAGCAGCTGGGATTATAGGCACGTGGCACCACGCCTGGCTAATGTTTATATTTTTAGTAGAGGCGGGGTTTCACCATGTTGGTCAGGCTGGTCTCAATCTTGTGACGTCGTGATCCACATGCCTCTGACCACCAAAGTGCAGGGATTACAGGCGTGAGCCACGATGCACGGCCTCAACTGGATTACATTAATCAAGTGTTCCTTTGGTTACTGCAAGCTTTTGATTAGTTCCAAAAAAGTGGAAGTGACTTTTTTGCCAGTTATTTGTTGCTCCCTATTTTTGGTGTTTCATTCATGTCCCACATGGGATCTCAAATTTATATGAAAAGAAATCTTCCATCAGTTCCGCAGACGGGAAAAAATGCTGAAAAGAAACGCAGTGAAAACATCACCGGTGTGGCCTGCATGCTGGACACTACTGTTCGCCCTGGGTGTTGGGTTCTTTCTGTCTCTGTTTGTCGATTGCTGCACAAGGATTGCTGTGGGCCTCAAGACCCACTGGGAAACGATCCCTTTTCCAGATCAGTGCCTGGTTTGTTGAGTATACTTGTCAAACTGGACTTTCATACACCTATGCTTTTGGATGAACCCTGTTACCTATCCTAGAAATTAACAGAGAAAATTGACAGTGGACTGACAAGAATGAGAATCCATTCTAAAGAATTCCAATAGAATGGAATCCTTTATTACTAAAACAATGCTCAACTCAAGTCGACACACATCCCTCATTTTGACTTCATTAGCTCCAGCACAGAGACAACTTTTTGAAAATACACAGCGAAGGCTGTCCGAGCTTTATGTGCTAGACCAGTTTTTCAGAATACACAGCTAAAATGGTCCCTGCTTCAAGGGATTGTTTTAGCTGTGTATTCTGAAAAAGTTGTGTGCTCTCCCAATAAAAAGCTACTTTTGTTGTTACTTTTGGTCCCCAGGAGAAATGGGAGACCTTTTCAGACAGCATCGGAGGCACATGAGTCCTTTGGAGTCCTCTTGTCTGCCTCTGAGGGTGCAATGAGTGCGTGAAGCACTTTGGGAGGTGTCCAGAGACACAGGTGGGCTTGCTACAGAGCAGATCTTCACACTTGTGATTTGCTCCTTGTCATCAAGAGCCATGTCTGAATGAATTAATCACATTTCATATGCAAGCATGTTCTCCGTTTGACTGTGCTGTTGTTTTGAATCAGAGCAGCCTCGACAATGCTTTAACTTGATAGCCATGAATAATTTCGTTCTACGTAATAACGTGTGGGTTTGAGGAGGAGGCAGCGTTAGAAGGGAAGGAGGGAGAATGGACGTGAGAATTAGGGAAAGGTGTCTGTTCCTTTGGAGCATGGATGGGTTCAAAGCCCACCTCATACTACTAAGTATTTGGCTGGCCACTAGCAGGTGTGTGTGAAGCCTGTGTGTTTGTGGGTGTGTGTGAGTGTGTGTGTGTGTCTGTGTGTGTGAGTCTGTGTGGGTGGGTGTGGGTGTGTCTGTGATTCTATCTCCAGACCTGAGCAGCAGATGCTTCTACCTGTGGTAGCATGTTACTCAGAACCTTGGATAACCCCAGCCCTCCTGAAAACCCAATACATGTATATTTTAAGACGTTTATGTTGATGATTGGTGAGAGCATGGTGATTGAAACCACCTCATTTCCCATGCACCGCTGAGGCCTGCTCAGCTTTGCTTAAGAGGGTTCTTGCTCTGACTTTGTAGCAGGAGCTCCTAAGTGAATCAAGCCTTTTCACGAGTTTCAGGTGGAAAAGCAAGATATCTCAGGTTAGACCCAATGTTGAAATTTGAACCGGGCAAATTCTCATTATAGACAAAGGACCAAAGACGGTGCCGATGGAATCGAATGTCTTTTGATGTTGACTTCAATCCATTAAAGCTCTTGTGAAGCCATTGAACTGTAACAGTGGGCCTGGGGGAGGCAGTGCACCCT